TTTAGTGCTAGCCCGGTAGAGACTGGTTTCCGGCTGTTAAATCGGTATCTACTCTTCTAAGGACCCTCGACATGATGTTCTTGGTTTGTTGCCCAAATTTGAGTTGAAGGATGCTGTAATTACTTCTCAAGAACGCCGCCAAGCTCGAAAATCGGTTAAGGATATAGAGCTTTTGAAGGGAGGTGTCTTCACTGGTAAAGGTGATAGCCGATCTATGCGACGAGTACTGACCTATGTTCGTGATGTTGCAATTGAGGAAGCTTTCACGGCATTAGAGTATCGGGAGCTATTGAAGCGTCAGATTTCTCAGACTGCTCGAGCTGCTGTTCATCCTCGCAGAGTCACTACTCAGCCTGCTCTTATTCAAGAGCTGCGACGAGAGGTCTCAAGCTTTCTATCACTTTATGGTCAAGGAGACTCTGGCAAGTTGGATTCTTGGAAAAGCCTACTATTTTTATCACAAGGAAAGTCCGAGAAAGTTGCCACCTTTGCCCAGAGGTTTGACGACGCCTATAATGATGCGGTATGTCTTGGTAATGTCATAGATGATGCTCAGGCCGCACTACAATTTGCGTCGGCTTTGAATGAGCAATGGTCGATTAGTGCTGCTACTCTAATAGCTGCTGGTGTTACTTCGTTGGCGGACTTAACTTCTCGCTTAGTCGCAGAAGAGAAGCTGTTCAAACATTCGGTGAATGTTAAGGTCTCGGTTGGTAATGTTGACTCTACTGGTGGTAAGACTATATTTGTCTCGAGTACTCAGAGAGTGGGAGGTCAAGCTACTAAGGAAGATGGTGTAAGATCATGCTTCTATTGCCATCAGCCGGGTCACCTGAAGGCCGATTGTCCCCAACTCCGTGCCAAAAGGCAGAATAAGCCAGACCCTATTGGTAAGGATCAAACGGCAAAGTCCGTTCCTAAAGAAGGGACAGATAAAGTCACTTCAGTGGCTTCTATTGGTGTTGTCAAGTCCAATGATATGGAATCTGACATTTTTTCCCCTAGCACGCGCATGGTGTCGGTGTGCGGTACCGGGACAGCTGAGCACGCAAGCCCAAAGATTGACCACAAAGCCCTCTTTGATACAGGTTCGGTTAATAATTTTATCTCGAGAAACCTTGTTGACTTACTACAATCAAGTAGTATTGAACTTGAGGTGAATCCTTTGGATGGTAAAACAATTAAACTTGCCGATGGTTCGCTTAGAGAATCTATGGGTGTTATATCTTTGTTGATAGGCGTCGACGGTGTCAGTCGTAGCTTATCTTTTTATGTACTTTCTTCACTATGTCCCGATCTTATTATTGGTTGGGATGGTATGTGTACTTTGGGGGTCATTGTCAAGACTCAGCAGAACGAGATTGTATGTACGGGTGCCGTCTTTGGGGAGAAGAAGGAAGATTCTGAGGAACCTCAATGTCTTGCTAGGATGGCCAAAGGTTCATCTCCGGCTATTCTGGGCACTGACGATTTTCATCATGATCCATTCAGTGAGCTTATTATATCTGAATCATATTGGTATCATCTGCCCAGTGCTCCTGGTTATCGTATCCGGGTTAGACGGCTACGAGAAGGCGAGCAGAAGGATACGGAGAAGCAAGTCTTCGTTTTCGAGTTGGATCTTAAGGGAGCAACTAAACCTACTACCACTACCCCTCGTACTTCCAACTACTCGGAGAGGCTCATATCACGATTGTCTGAGGAGGATCGTGAGTTATTCTATGCTGAGGTGGATGGTTACTTATCACGCGGTTGGTGGCAGGAGGAGATCCCGTCACCACAAGGCACGGATAACAGTCTACCTCCCATTACTGTATTTCCGGTTAAAGCTCCGGGGAAGGCCTTATCCTCTACCCCTATACGGCCATGCTGCGACGCTCGAGCCTACAATAATCTAGCGGAACCTGCTGGTTATTTGGGAGCTGATATTTCGTCACTAACCTCTAGGTTATTGGGTGCCTACCGGAAAGGGGACTCCTTATATATGCTAGATTGTATTCGTGCCTTTTATCGGTTAAGAACTAACTGGTTCCTCCCATTAATGGTCGGTAGGAAGCGATTCTGGAGCAATCGAGTTATCTTTGGAATATCGGCTGGTCCCTCCTGTTTGGAGTTCGCGATGACGTTTTTGTTACGTTATGTAGCAGCTCTGGACCCATCGCTATCATCGGTACGATTTGATGTAATTTCCGGTTGCTGTAAGGTGGCGGGATCATGGATATATCTCGACGACGTTACACTGATGGGTAATGGAGCTGACGGAAAACTTGAAAGGTTTTATAAGCTGTTTGTGGAGACTGCTGAGAAGTTTGGTCTGTACTTTCCCCCCGAGAAGCAAAACTATCTGTCTCCGTTTAAGGCTAGTGGTTCGGTGACCCATCTTGGTTCATTGTGGTCAATAGTTGATGACCATTTGCAGTGTAGTTGTCGCAGAGATATTAAAGGTTTTCAACAGTTGTTTTCTGAACCTGGTAAATCGAAGCGTGACTACTTTGCTATTGGTGGAAAACTAGTTGATTATCCAAATGACCATGCTAGGGCTCGCCTTGCTAGTGATCTTTTAAGGAGCATTATTGGAGGTTTCCAAACTCCGTGGGATGAACGAGTTCAACTAGGAGAGGGAGAGGCTCGTCAAGTAGATACCCTCTTGAACGTGTTGAAAGAAGATTTCGATACTCCTTGTTCACATTTGAGTGCTACTGGTGATGTGGCCATTTTGGAATGTGATGCGAGTGCTGCCGGTTATGGTTATATCTTTAGCTGTGGTTCGTATCATGCTTCCCGTGCTAAGGCTTTTCGTACCAATCAATTGGCATGGCACGTCAACCGCAAAGAAGCTTGGTGTATCATTCAAGGTTTACTCTCTATTCTGCCATTCTTGGAAGAATACTGTCCATCGTCAACTGGTGTGTCCTGCCCATTAACTTTGAAAGTGGTAGGTGACAGTAAGTCGGCTCTGGCTTGGGCGTGCGATAACCGGAGTAACGTCCGTAGTGTGGAGCGTCTGGCTATCCGCCGAATGCTGAATACCCTAGATGATATTCGTGCAATGTTTGATAAGATGAATATTCGCCTAGAATTTGTGAGAGTTCCTGGATCAAGTAATTTGGGAGCAGATGAACTCAGTAGACTTCTACTGAAGTGGAAAGTCTGTCCATGTGAAGGTACCAAGCCTGACTCAACCAGTGACTTGTCTGCACTATGTTCTTTATCGCTCATGGTCGAGGGTGCTAATGAAGATGAGGAGATCTTGAAGAATGGTGGTAAAGAAGTGTGCCAATCCCTGATGTCTTTGGAGACCAGTCCACCAGCTACTGTTGTGCAATGGTTACTTTCTCTACAGAAGTGTGACCCTTTTATCAATTCTGTCCGAGAGTTCTTGGTGGAGGGTAAGAAGGATGCTTATTTGGAACGACTACTCAGAGATCATGGCCGACAATATGAGCTCAACCACTGTGGTCTTGTCGTTGAGTGCCGATATACCGATAATCTGGAAGGTAGAATTTGTATACTACTTCCTGGTGATCCTGACGTTCTAGCCAAGTTTGCTCGCCATTATCATGAGAATAACTCCCACTGCTCGGTTCGTTATGTTACCTATTTATTTTCTCGAGACTTCTATGCACCCAAATTCAAGCAAGTGGTGAGGTCGGTAATCCGAGCGTGCGGTCCATGTGCCGAAAAACGGGTGAAATTGGCCTCGTCTGGTGGAAAAAATTCTTATGGTCAGTCGACGTCAGACCTCAGTGGTGTGTGGTCAACAGTATATGCTGATACTGCGGATATCTTGGTTAAAGATAGATTTGGTTACCGGTATTTGTTGGTAATAGTGGATAGTTTATGTGGCTTCTGCTGGTTATCTCCACTGAAATCTTTGGAAGCGGTGGAGTTAGTCAGGGTGGTTTCTGGTATTTGTAACCGGATAGGTTGGCCACGGAAATTTGTGAGTGATGGTGGTCGGAACTTCACATCTAAGTTGACCAAGACTATGTTTTGTCGTGAAGGAGTGCTTCAAGACTGGGTACCTCGGTATGCTGCTTTCTCTAGGGGTCGTGCGGAAAGATGTATAGGTAGCATCAAAGCCAAGATGCAGACCCTTAATCGTTCCCAGAAGCGTGAGTGGTCTATCCATATACCTACTATTAATAAGAGTATTAATCTTAGCCCTCTATCGACCGGTACAACGCCTTTTGATATTTTTTTCCAGCGACGTTATGATAGTCCCCATACTGTAAGGGCCTTACAAGGAAGATTGAGGCTATCAACGAGTTGGCTATGCAAAAAGAGATGTCGATGGAGACTTCTGGCGTCAAGCCAAATAAGAAGTGTTTTAAGATTGGTGACTTGGTTAGACGGTCTAATAAGGAGGTTAAAGATGACTCAGTCTATGAAGTGATGAGCTGCGGTCGCCACAGTGTGAGTATTCGCCGTCAAGGTGATGTAAATAGTTTGCCCGTGAAGGAGCAGGTTAGGAATCTTGTACTTGCTCAAGTTGAGAATCAACTGGGGGAGATGTGAAGGTCTGCGAGATTCGGCTTGTGTCAATTGTTGTTTCTCGTGATATTTGTCCCATTGTGGTTAATTCTCAGCGTATCATCGCTGAGCTAAGCTGTAGTCATTTGCATACCAGTGATGATTATAAGTTAAGTCTCTCTAATATTTGGTCGACGTTGGGTTCTGGCTCTCAATACATAGTAGTCAGCGTGGCAGAAAATAACATGCGACTGAACATTAAGGCACCTTTGACAGGGCCTCTTTCGCAAACATGTGATGCTGGAGACCTGACGAATGTACATCCGCAAATTGCGGACCGCAATGAGGCGAGTTGATCGAGCCTTTCATCGAATGGAAAGCGCATCCAAGCGTTCCTAATGGTCCAATGACCGCCCACGTCAGTGATGTGAGTATTTGACTTAACCCGAGCTACTGTTATCACGATAGTGTTAAGCAATGGAATAGCCACGGAAAGGACACTACACGGCACATCCTGTGGAATAGCACGTGTGCCCCCTTGTGGCACGGATGGTCATCCACGAGTACATGCCTGAGGCATGATGCCTCTCACTACGGCGGGCGTATGTTACATTGTGTTCCACGATCACGGGTTCATAGCGATGAAAGCGGACAAAGGTACAAAGAGGCTGTGCGGTTCGGCGCAGGGCACGGGGACCTGTTGACCGTTATGCTTGATTTGTCTCCTTATTTTACGGATTTTACTGTACTTTTTTACGGTATTTACTGTTTTCTGTCTATGCTGTCTATCGTGCTAGCCTCGATGACTCGCGTCACGTATTTGTGAATGCGTGGTGTTCCCAGGGGTGCGTGAACGGTTCGCGCAC